CGTCGCTGTGGTCCTCAGCCGGTGCATGCTTCTCGATATATCTCAGTCGACCTACTGAAGGCTTGGTAAGCTTCGCTGTAGGTCGCGTTAATAGCCGTGGGCTATAGCCCATAGCGGTTACTAATCATCATCTCCATGTTCATTGTATTCTGAGTCCAGAGCCCCCGAAGCATGTGGGTCTTGAGTTCTTCGGAGTGATCCGTTGATAACCCCGTATGGGGACACGTGTACTATTCATTGAGTGCTTCACATATGCATGATAGCGGAGCGAGCCACTCTGATTAAATCGTGATCTCCGTTATCTGAGAGTTCCCTCCCTTTTTTTACCCAATCCACAGCGCCCTCAGTTCACTTGGTATCGATCTCCTGATGGCTGGACCCGATCATATTCCCCAGACAACTGTCCCGCCTACTTGTGACTGGCCATGACTGGTTGGAGAGATCAGCTTCGTCAACACCAATGAGGGACCCCTGAGCGAGCCTCAACAGCCGCTGGTTGGGTCTCTGAGCCCTGAGTCAGGGTTTCCGCCCTCAGGCAATCCACTAGGGAGGATCCCCAGTAGTCTCATGCCGGCAACGACGTGGGATGGCGTTGGAATGAGTGTGATATGTCTCCTTTGCAAGGTGCATGTGTTCTTCCTGAGCAAGATGTGTTTTGTGGCAGTGTTGATAGGATGATGGATGAGCGAGTTAGTGTTTATCAATGTAATGAAAGATCGACGATATGAAGAAAGTTTCATGGCGGATCGGTGGTGGAGTGTTCATGGCATGATCGATTGAGATGATAGGATTCTTCCCGTCGAACCCTCTCTTATTCATCCATCTCCTGCTGCCCAATGGGCAAGGGCGGGGACGCCATGGGTATTGCCCACGGGTAATGCCCATTCAGAAACCGTTAGAAAAGTCCGTATGTCAATCGATGCTTTTCATGTCGTTGTCCCGTGTGTCTCACATCTGATCATACATGTTGGCAGTTGATCACTCGTGATACTGCGTAGGTAGCGCAGGTATCGTGTATTTTGCCAAGAAACCCGGGTTGATCTCAGCTGGTTATTATGTATTGGCCACCGATTTGTCACATGCGGCATGTGACATGCCGGGATGCATCTTGGATGGCGCGCGCTGATTTAGCGCAACATACGAATCGATGGTCAGGTTCGAATTGAGTCGATGCGTATTCAACACAATTCCAAATAGATTTACTTGTACAACAACCAATTTCGGCATGCAATGATAGACACTCTAGAGGCCAATTGATACCTCTTTTATACACGCCACGTCCGCTGTATGGCTGTATCTGAGACTCATGACTGTCACAAGTTGTTACTTGCTCTATGATCAGAGAGTTATGAACGGCTACATTTTCCTACCTGTCTCCTCGTTCAAGGTCCACAGTCTTCAACGTCGACGAGGATGCCCGCCCTAACAGCCTCTTGAGCAGCCACAACTGGACGCAGCTGGCGAGAAGGCCGACCACAGCTGCGCCCAGGACGACTCCCAGTAGGGTGGTTGAGCAACCACATGTACTGGAGTCGTTGGGAGTCGATTCGGTGCCAGTGGTCGCAGTCCTGAAGGAAACTAAGAATGATTCAAGACATTATCGCTCTGTCTATACTATAGAGAAGATTGCGGAGATCGCCAAGTAATGAGTTAACTTACTTGTTATCGCCGGGCTGCTCGGTCGTTGTGCTCTCCAGGCCTGCAGGAGTGCTGCTCGACCAGTCCGGATTGCCCCCAGTGGTCGTGCTCACGGGAGCCTCCAAGCTGACACCACTCCAGTCCACCTGGCTTCCGCCGGTCGCCGGATCGATTGGAGGCTCAATAGTGATACCGCTCCAATCAATCGGGCTCCCGGCAGTCGTCGGTTCCACTGGGGGGTCGAGGACTATCCCGCTTAGGTCCAGCTGATCGCCGGCCGGAGCCATACCCACTGGGGGATCCAGAGTGATGCCACTCCAGTCAAGTTGACCAGTGCCGGAGCCAGCGAGGACGATGATTGCTATAGTGGCATACATTTGTGATCACGATAATACTGAAATTCGGAGCAAATGTCCTAGAAGAACTCAAGAAGGAGATTAGAGCGATCGCACTGACCCGGAAATGAATGTTCGTGCCAAGAGGCTGCAGCAGTGGTCAAGACGCGCTGAGTTCTCAAGAGATACGTCGCTCAATTTCCCGTCGTCGCTGTGGTCCTCAGCCGGTGCATGCTTCTCGATATATCTCAGTCGACCTACTGAAGGCTTGGTAAGCTAAGTTCGCTGTAGGTCGCGTTAATAGCCGTGGGCTATAGCCCATAGCGGTTAGTAATCATCATCTCCATGTTCATTGTATTCTGAGTCCAGAGCCCCCGAAGCATGTGGGTCTTGAGTTCTTTGGAGTGATCCGTTGATAACCCCGTATGGGGACACGTGTACTATTCGTTGAGTGCTTGACATATGCATGATAGCGGAGCGAGCCACTCTGATTAAATCGTGATCTCCGGTGTCTGAGAGTTCCCTCCCTTTTTTTTCTTCACCCAATCCACACCGCCCTCAGTTCGCTTGGTATCGATCTCCTGATGGCTGGACCCGATCATATTCCCCAGACAACTGTCCCGCCTACTTGTGACTGGCCATGACTGGCTGGAGCGATCAGCTTCCTCAACACCAATGAGGGACCCCTGAGCGAGCCTCAACAGCCGCTGGTTGGGTCTCTGAGCCCTTAGTCAGGGTTTCCGCCCTCAGGCAATCCACTAGGGAGGATCCCCAGTAGTCTCATGCCGGCAACGACGTGGGATGGCGTTGGAATGAGCGTGATATGTCCCCTTTGCAAGTTGCATGTGTTCTCCCTGAGCAATATGTGTTTTGTGACAGTATTGATAGGATGATGGATAAGCGAGTTACTGTTTATCAATGCCATGAAAGATCGACGATATGAAGGAAGCACAGCTCTCGTCGACTGGGTTCGTGGGGCATTGCAGCTTGGTCAAAACTCAACTCAACCTCCTCCTATCGAGCGGCTCGATGATCTCGCCTCTACTAAGATTGCTCTCAGACTATTGGCCGACATGTAGTACCACATCGTGATCCGAGGTGGGTGAGCTCAGCTGTGGTAGGGACCCGGAGTACTTCAAAGCATCGATGTCGGATGCTGAGTTGAAGTCGAATTTATCGCGGTTTTTTGAGGATGTAAGGAGCGGCTGTTGCTCGAGAGAGGCGATGGCTCAGGACTTCGGCAATCCTGTCTCACCAAGAACCTTCGATCGGGCCTTGCAGGATCCGGAGAAGCTATACAGCTTAGTTCTTGTGGTGGCTGCAAAATGCCCACGCCA